CACTGGGCCCTACAGTGCGACCCAAAATCCTTTGGTAATCCTCAGATTTCATGATGCCTTGCACACAGTCAAGGCACCCAGTGCCAGAGGCAGCAAAAACAACCCCAAAACATCATTGAACCTCCACCATATTTTACCGTAGGTACTGTGTTTTGTTCTTTGTAGGCCTCATTCCGTTTTCGGTAAACAGTAGAATGATGTGCTTTACCGAAAAGCTCTATCTTGGTCTCATCTGTCCACAAGACGTTTTCCCAGAAGGCTTTTGGCTTACTCAAGTACATTTTGGCAAACTGTAGTCTTGCTTTTTTATGTCTCTGTGTCAGCAGTGGGGTCCTCCTGGGTCTCCTGCCATAGCGTTTCATTTCATTTAAATGTCGACGGATAGTTCGCGCTGACACTGATGCTCCCTGAGCCTGCAGGACAGCTTGAATGTCTTTGGAACATGTTTGGGGCTGCTTATCCACCATCCGGACTATTCTGCGTTGCAATCTTTCATCAATTTTCCTCATCCGTCCACGACCAGGGAGATTAGCTACAGTGCCATGGGTTGCAAACTTCTTGATAATGTTGCGCACTGTGGACAAAGGCAAATCTAGTTCTCTGGAGATGGACTTGTAACCTTGAGATTGTTGATATTTTGCCACAATTTTGGTTCTCAGGTCCTCAGACAGTTCTCGTCTCCTCTTTCTGTTGTCCATGCTTAGTGTGGCACAGACAGACACACAATGCAAAGGTTAAGTGAACGTCTCTCCTTTTTATCTGCTTTCAGGTGTGATTTCTATATTGCCCACACCTGTTACTTGCCCCAGGTGAGTTTACAGGAGCATCACATGCTTGTAACATTCTTATTTATCCGCAGTTGTGAAAGGGTGCCAATACTTTTGTCCAGCCCATTTTTGGAGGTTTGTGTGACATTATGTCGAATTTGCTTTCTTTCCTCCCTTTTTTTGTTTTGTCCCAATACACACAAAGGGAATAAACATGTGTATAGCAAAACATGTGTTAATGCAATACGTTTCGTGAGAAATACATGATTTCCTGGAGAAATATCAAGGGTGCCAACAATTTCGGCCATGACTGTATGTCCTGTTACTGATACATGTTGCGGGCCAGTCCAGAGACCATTAATCAAGATGGCAGACAACAGTGTTAGTGCGTGCAATAAACAAGGTATGGTGATGATGTTTCTTGTGAACAAAGGCATAAAACCCGCAGATATCTACAGAAGACTTCAAGCACAGCATGGTGATTCGACGCTCAGCTGCAGTAAGACATTTGAATGGTGTAAACATCTCAAAGATGGCTATATGGCATTCCAAGCCCACAACCCTGTCCTGAAATTGCAGAAGAGACAAATCTTTCTGTGGGAACGGTGAATACAATGATGACAAAGTGAAGCAGACTGTCCTAGGATGGTAATAATTTCCAACCAAAGGCAGCACTTCAAAGACTAACCTGTGGAGTTTTAAGGTGTTGCATTTCAAGGTGTTTTTACTTTTATTCCATGGAAAGCTCCTTTATACAACTTTTGCCTTAGCAGAGTTTTCAGCATTACAAAAGGATACAACATAAAACTTCAGTTTCCTGGATATATTGGTTCTTTCCAACCAACCACCACCCAACTAATACACTGGGAAATGGAGGCACAGCACCAGGATGAACAGGATTTTCTGCTGTCTCATAGTCAGGATCCTTTGCCTAAAACCTCCATTTTTGTGAGGCAGAAGCAACAAGAGACAGAGGAGGAATGTGAAGAAAATGAGGAGGGTTGGTGTGCTAGAGGTAAAGAGGAGGAGGTGGTTGGGGTTCTGGTGGCGAGGAGAAGGAGTGTTGGGGTTCTAGTAGGGTGGAGGAGGGTTGTAGTGATGATGGTGAGATGGAGGAAATTTGGATCAGCTTCAAAGGGGATGTTTCACCACTATTCTATCCAAGGGTAAAATTATGTGGGATCTATGCAGGGTTGGTGCTTCCACTAGGCACACTATGTGGCCGCCTAGGGCACACTGCCACCTAGGGATGCCTGGGCACAGCACAGGCCAGCACTTTCTCTTTGTAGGATGCCGCCACATCATGAATGATCCTTCCTCTGAGAGGAGGGGCAGCAGAGGGGATGAAGAAAGAACAAAGGAAGATGCTGGGTGTCTGGGGCCAATGTAGCAGCTGAGCTGCTGCTCCTTCCATTGTTCCACACAGACTCAATCCTTGCAAGCTGGGTAGCGGCTGCTGATCACTGTGGAGTTCCAGTCCTTCTCTTCCCATTCATCAGCAGAGGCAGACCTGTGCCTGCCGAGGAAGGTAATGTCTGACTCTGATGTCTCATGTCTGTGCGAGTGTGACCCAACCTACCGGACATCCATCACTGACAATTTGTCAGTGAGTGATGACATCATCACAGTCCCACAACCTGCACTTCTAGTGCCTGCTGATGTGTGTTGTTGGTGTGTTGTGTCAGATCTGTCACTGTGTGGGATCGCTTAGTTCAGCTGCCTCCTGTCACAGCGTTTTATCTCCTCCCATTGGCTGGGAAACTCCAGCTTGGGATCTGTCAGAGTGTGGATCCATCATCCTCCACATACTGCAACTGTCACTCTGCCACTGCCAGCCACAGAAACAGTCCATCCGTGATGCTGATTTTGTCTTTAATATTGGTGCTGCTTGCATCTTATGACACTTACTTTTGCAGGTGAAGAGAAATGTAGCAGTTTCATGTTTTGTTGATTTAATATATTCTACTGGTTTAAATTTTTTTCGGGGGTGGGGTGCAAGTAGCTGGTCTTGCCTTGGGCACGAAATAGTCTAGCACCGATCCTGGATCAATGCCACCATCCATGAGGGAGCACAAAGTGCTCCACTACGAGGAAGCTCTTCAAAAGAAACTCTTTGCTGCATTTCATGATGAGCACTGAGTGATTAATCCACCATATTTTAGGGATAGATGAAGGGGGATCTCCTTATAGGAACAGGCTAGCCAGCCTCCCACAGGTTTGCCTTGGTTTCACACCTGTTGCTGATCCAGGCAAAGCTGCCCTTTGTGTGCGGCACATCGCTGCACACTTCTGTGCAATAGTGGTGTGCTCCAAAGCATCCCCGTGTTTGCCATACCTGCCATGACATCTAGCAAATCCCCTTTATACAAGGTCTGTCTAAAGTGATGTGCATCAGTTCTGCATGCAGAAGTAGTATATTTGATTGAGATAGTTAATTTTACTTTATTTTATTTTTTTTTTGCATTGTAAGGGCTGCTATGTTGAGGAAAAAAACAAAGAAAGAATTGCAAACCTAGGCACTGCAGTTTAAATACAAACAAGTCCTTGTCCTGAGCGGCAAGTTGTCACTAAGCAAAAAATGAACATTGGATTCCCTGCAAAATAAGCCTGCTAACTCACACACTGGCCTCTCAGAGGTGAAGATGGAGACAGGGGGTTATCTTGGTATTATCTGAACATGGTTGTATAATGTAAAACAGCTTTTTGGTTTGGCCTCAGACACATCCCTGGGCTCTCCTGATAATGTGGAGAGAGGGCACTAATAGCATAAGGGAAAAAGTGGACATTGATGTTTCAAATAAATTGGAAGTCTCATGCAAAGAACCACAAGAAAGAGAATGTAATGATTAACACATACAAAAGCGTAGTAAAGCAGATCAATAAACATGATTTTTCTTGAATTGAAGACACTGAATAAAAAAATATGTATCTAGTATTGATTAAAAAAAAAAAAAAAAAAAAATCACAGAATATACCATAAAGTCTTTGCACAGTGAGCAGCTGTAGTTTCAAAGGGAGAGGCAAGGCTGGCTTTATCTTAATAAATCATATTTATAGTTTATTTCAGAGAAAACAGCAAGTAATAAGTAATATGGTACACACATAATAAACACTATGGGGTTGATTTACTAAAACTGGAGTGTGTAAAATCTGGTACAGCTCTGCATAGAAACCAATCAGCTTCCAGGTTTTATTGTCAAAGCTTAAGTGAACAAGGTAAAGTTAGAGTCTGACTGGCTGCCATGCACCAGATTCTGAGTGTGAATATAAATATGCAAATACCAATAATCCCAAAAGTACCGTATATATCACACAAATATATTAAAAGAAAAAAAAATTCAAAATGTAACAGTCCAAAAATAGATAAGAAATAAAATTAAATAATGTTATAAAAAGTCACGCTGTGCCAACTTCAATCATTAATCTTCATATTCAGCCTTTCAATGGCTCAAAGAAACCTCAACATAAAAAGAAAAATCACATAGTGCATTATCTTAAATAAAATATAAATGAAACAGATGTGATAAACGCAAACAACCATACCTGATCACAAATAGTGAAAAAAGTGAAAGTGTCAAAATAGTGCCAGTGAATCAATCCAGTGAAAAATATGCATCCAAAAACAACATGTGAAACACTGTGTCCACTTCTATAGTGTAAGGAGTGAATACCCTTACCAAAAATATGTAAATCATATGCCTTTACACCTCCCAGCGAGGGTATTATCACAAATTCTGCTTCAACCAAAGGATCATCACAGCCTCATGGATCAGATCAAGATGTCATCCAGATATAGCAGCTTTCAAGTATAACCATGAATCTCCACCAATCCACCGATACCCACCATATATAGAATAAATCATAGCGTAAACCCGCATATACAATTTAAAATACTTTATTGAATATGCTTACATCATGATTCCTCTTTAAAATAGCCTTTATCAGAATATCCAAACCTCTCAGAGTTCCCTGGTTCCTCCACATGGACTTCTATGAGGTTTTACCAGATTCTAAAATGGCCGCCGGATCACTTCCAGTTCCTCTATGCATCTGACATCACTTCCCTTGACATGTTTCGTCACCTGACTTAATCATAAGGGATCACACATGATAAACACTATGGGGTTGATTTACTAAAACTAGATTGTGTAAAATCTGGTACAGCTCTGCATAGAAACCAATCAGCTTCCAGGTTTTATTGTCAAAGCTTAAGTGAACAAGGTGAAGTTAGAATGTGACTGGCTGCCATGCACCAGATTCTGAGTGCCCCAGGTTTAGTAAATGTCCCCCTGTATCACGGGCGGACTGACAACTCATGGGGCCCTCAGACAATAGGGGATCATGGGGCCCCTGTGTCCTCACCCACACCCAAAAAAGCCTATGAAAAAGGTACCAGGGGAATTTCATGGGGCCCCCTACTGACTCAGGGCCCTCGGGCAGTGCCCGAGTTCCCAAATGGTCAGTCTGCCCCTGCCCTGTATAAATCCCTTTTGGTAGTCTGAAACTTAAAGTGGAGTTCCAGTGAAACTGTTAAAAAATATAAGTCAGCAGCTACAAAAACTGTTTTTAAAAAACAGACGCTCACCTGCCCCTCGATCCCGCGGTGTCCTCCCTGCAGCCAGTTTCCCCGGTCATAATGTTTTCCTAGCGCCGGCATCTTCAGTGCGGGCACCCGGCTTTGCCAGCTTCTTCACAGCTGGGTGCCCACTGCACATGTGTGAATAGTGCTGCGCTCTCTGGTCCTGTGGTCTTCTGGGACCTGTCACGTGTCCTAGAAGACTACAGGAAGGGAGGGGGGAGAGGAGGCGATCGCAGCAGAAGTGGGAGCAGGTACCTATCAATTTCGGGTACCCATTCTCCAAAGGTGACAATCCTTAACGGGGAGCGGGGGACCAGTCCTTAAAGTGGAACTTCCCTTTTGGGTGGAGCTCCACTTTAAGAGCAAAAGATCAGACAAGATTTATCAAGAACTGAAAATGACAGTGTACAGTAAACATGGAATAAAAAAAAACACAAAAATTGCAAAGGGGGTCAGCAGCTAAACAACAACAGAAGTTGTTGCAGACACACACAAAAAAGTCCTAAAAGGACTGTTGGGTCTTTGCATCTGTGAGAGGAAATATGTAACCCACTATGCTGCAATTCACTGTAATGTGGCTCTAAACAGGACCGGGTATAGCATTTTTCAGCAGAGCTGTATAGTGTAGCAGCAACTATCTCTCTCTGCAAAGACGGTGTTATCCCTTCCTAAGTGTTCAAAATCTCCTGACTGTATTTTTGACTGACTGTAAAAATAGTGTTTTTCACTAGCAGTATTGTATTGTGGTAGTGCATCAGTGAAAGAATCCCTGTATAGACTGTGTGAGCTCTCTGTATCTGCTCCAAGTCTCAAACACACATTAACTAACTGCGTATATGACTGAATGTAAACACAGCCGTTTTAACCACTTGCCGACCGTTCTATAGCAGATTTACTGCTACAGGGCGGATGTTCTGTGCAAAATCAAGTACATAAAATTGATTTTGTATTTCTGTCACTGAGGGGCGTATGCCTGGCACTGGAGCGCTGCTTCTGCTGTGATTGGACACAGCAGAAGCTGATCAATGGCCAATGATGAGCGTCGGCACCTGTCGATCGCCGAGGAGACTGACAGAACACAGCTTTGCCTATGTATACAAAGCAGAGCTGTGTTATCTCAACGGTGGTCTGCTAGTAAAATTTGATTTCCTAGTAAAAGCAACACACTGTACACACAAAAACACTGGCTAGGCACACAATTAACCCTTTGATCATCCTAGCTGTTTAACCCCTTTCCAGTCAGTGAACTGATCACTGTGTTAGTGTCACTGGTTCCCACAAAGTGTCATTTAGTGTCAGTTGGTGTCAGACTTTCTGCCGCAATACAGCAGTCGCACTAGAAGTTGCTGATCACCGCCATTACTAGTATAAAAAAAAATTCCAGTATATATACAGCCATTTGTAGACACTATAACTTTTGCGCAAACCAATCAATATACGCTTATTGAGATTTTTTTTTTACCAAAAACATATAGCAGAGTACATTTTAGCCTAAATTCATGAAGAAATTTGATTTTTTTTTTTAACTGGATGTTTTATAGCAGAAAGTAAAAAATATTGTTTTTTCTTTTTTTTTTTTTAAATGTCGGTGTTTTTTCATTTATAGCGCAAAAAATAAAAAAAACCAGAGGTGATCAAATGCCACTAAAAGAAAGCTCTATTTTGGGGGGGGGGGGGGGGGGTGACATAAATTTCATTTATGTACAGCGTTGCATGACCACGCAATCAGTTAAAGTAATGAAGCGCCGTATCGCAGCTATTGGCCTGGTCATGAAGGGTGGAAATCCTCCGGATATCAAGCGGTTAAGCTGTAGTACTGTATAGTGGTAGTATAGCAAAAATGATCTGTCCCTATAAACATTCTGTGATCTTTTCCTGGGTTTGTCCAGCACACAATGAGTGTGTTTCTGACTAAATAAATATAGCCGTTTTCAGCAATACCTTTTTATTGGTCCAATTGCTATAGACGCAAACAACCGCATAAGTTTGCCATTTTCTCTGACCATTATTTACTTGATTTTGGGTAAAACTCATGTTTAACCTGAATCGGAAACCTATCTGTATACCTTACCAGTGTTCCTATATTTGCTGTTTGCTGCACCTATATGAGTAGCTAGTAGTAGGTAGAAGTCCAAGGTGCAGTTTAAACATGGGATGCATTATCCTGCTGCGATAAATATTCCCTTGTATATGCTTCACTTGTGAATTAAAGTGGTAATAAACACCGACTGCTCATATGTACCTACAGGTAAGCTTTATTTTAAAGAATTACTAAACACACGACAGTAAAATCAGCATGTCTATACAGTAAAGCATGCTTGTTATACTCACTGGAACCTAAGGGGTTAATCCTCTACATTGTGTAAAAAGGCTGTTTGATCCTGACTTCTATGCCCCTCCTCTTGTTCAAATGTTCACACTGATCAGACAGACTGAACCCGTAACCCTTCTGCACATGCTCAGTTTAGTGTGTATTGCTAGAGAGATTTTTTTTTTTCTTGGGAGAGTGCATGTGATCAGCACAGGGCCAATCAACACTGTCCAGACAGAGGGTCAGGGGTTTTGCATCCTCCTAGAGCAGAAAGAAAACTCCTACAAGCTCCACTGAAGTCACAAGACTGCTCTAACTGCTGATGAGAAAAGGTATTTAGCAGTTTATATTTACTAAAATAATTGCATTTCCATGTTCTATGTACTGTGGGAGACCAGATATAGTGAATGCAGGGTCCTGGGTTTAGTAACACTTTAAGGAATACCTCCTAAACATTCACTGTTTATGAGATATTCAATACTTCTGCATCCAGTGACATTATCGACATGTGCACTGTGCTCTGAAGGGACAGTGTATCATCTCTTCAGAGCACTGTGCCACGGCTGTGGCTCCCATGTGCATATGTGGAAGTGACGTCATCTTGACTAGGACATTCAAACGACCGGAGACTGTGAACCCAGAAGGAAGACCGGGTGTAGATGGAAGCCCTGTTAGCAGCGACAGCTGGAGGGCTTCATTTTAAGGTAAGTCTTTCACAATGTACTAGTAGGCAATGCATACTAGCACTCAATGGCAGTTGGCTTTAAGCAGTTGCAATTCATAAATAATAAATAAACCTTTTTAGGATTTAACTAATATAGAAAATATAACTGAATAAGTTAAAGGCAAAGGAAGTGGGCGGTTAGACTTTTAAAGACGTAACAGTATTACATGTACAGTATTCAGGTCAGTCTAGCAAAGAAATGGTTAAGAATCTGTACCTTTTGTAAGTTCAAAAACAGGTTTGTTTTTTAATTATTTATCCCACACACAGTTAATTTATGAGGGCAAAGATTCATTTCTCTGTGTGCATAAAATATTTATAGTGACAAGATAATGCCATTAAATCCTACAACACCCTTTTAAAGTAATTTTCTTCCCAGGTTCTTGAAAGTTTTAAATCCAAAGGGAATGGGGTTCTTCTTGTGCAGCAACTCTGATTGGCGCTGATTTCTAGATAGCATTCCATCTCATTCAAAATTCTCAGACTTTTAGAAATTTACCTAAAGCTTCTGAACATGAAATAAATATGATATCATTCCAACTAGCAAGAAGGAATTCAACCTCATGAAACCAACAGTTTTAGTAAATAATGTGAGGAGCTATTTAAAGTTCCTGGGCTGAGTTACTAGTACAGTATAATGAATTAGAAATTCAAGAATTATGAAACATCAAGAGACACAAAAGAGCTGTTCATCTCTTATATACATCATGCTCTATAGATACCATCCCTAATGAAACAATATCCAATAACCACTCTGACCACCCAGCCAAAGAAAGGACCGGTGTGTGACAGAATGCGGTGCCTGGCCCCTGCTCTTCTCACCAACTCATGACAAATGACCAGCCAATCTCGCACTTGCATAACAATGCCACTCTCAGCAGCACCCTACACAAATAGTTTATATTTCAAACCCAGGGATACTAAACACAGCGTGCTTTTGTCACCCAGGAGGGAAGAGACTGCTTTCTTCCCTTTCCTATGTGCTAACATAGTCATGTAGGTCATTGTTTGGCTCGGCATGAAATGATCTATCCAAATATATACCTAATATTAATGTGCCCAGTTCCTGTTGGATGCTATGAACTGTATTTGAAATGGTTACATGTGGAATAGATGTTTTATGGCACGCTCTACATTCCTAATCTCTAATGTCCTAACAGATTATGTGTGATGGCTGACTGAGTTATTGTTTTGCGATAGGGCAGAGGAAAGTGTCTTTGCAAAATAGACATTCTGCCAAGACTAATTTGCCGTTTACAGCTCTGGAGCTGGCCTCTATTTGTGTTTTATTTAAGATAAGAGGTTCTTTTGAAGTTGGTTACAACTTACAGCCACAAATTCCATTTCAAGAGGAGGGAGGAGGGGTGAAAAAGAATTGTTCATGAAAACAAAATGGCTGAGACCTTAACAAAATGGCTGTCACGTACAGCTTCCATGTCTCTATCATGCATAATCGTTGGACTTTAATTGTACCAAATAGAGACAATAGGTGTTTGTTAAAAATTATAATACCACATTTTATTACAAAAGGTTAAAAGATATTCAATATATGCTGTATAGTGTGACCATCAAATCAGTTCTTCAAAAGGCTCTTTTTGTTTTGCCTCAAGGTTTTTTTCCCAATCCTACTCGGCTTTTGATCCCATTGGGAAGGCCAG